CCATCATGTGAGGCCAGGGGATTAAAGCTGCACTTTTCTTCATACCCATCTTTACCTGAAGCTAACTGACGTTCTTTTACTGAAGCACTCTGAGTGCAGCGCGTTGTGACGTCTCCACCTGTTCAGCCTCGAGATGGCGCCTTTGGAGGCCTCGGCGTCCACGTCCTGCGTGCATGTGCACATCACTGTCACGCCAGCAGCACGTGACACCATTGGATGAGTAAAAGTTAGGTTTTCACACCGTCCACGTTACTGTGACTGACCAATCACAGTGTTTGTGTCATGTGAGCTCTGAGTGTGTCTTTGCGTGCAGCGTGACCGCAGCTGTGATTGGTTATTAAACACAGATCTGAGCTGTGATTGGTTATTAAACACTCCTGTTTGCCCCTCCAGCCGGCGCTGAGCCTGCTGATGAACTCGTTCACGCCTCCTCGCCATTTCGTTGGGTTTGCCGACGTCACTGTGACGGCTCAGCAGCTTTGTAATCATGTGACCTCCAGTCTGAATTAGTTTGAATCATTGTGTTGAAGCGAATTATTGACGATGGAGAGTCTCAGGATTTAAAATTTTGAGCTGTAACTTCTTTCTGGTCACATGACGATTTCCTCTTCATTGGAGGTTTTTTCCTTTTTCATTTCTCAGCTTCTGATTTCAAAGCACAAACATGTGAAACTGCAGCTCTTTAATCCAGACTTTTAAAGCCTTTCTCCACATGCTTAACTTGAAGCATATTTAACCTGTGCAGGTAAACACCGGGGCCAGCCACGCCCTCCTAATGTAAACTGTAGGACAGAAGAAAGGGCGGCTGGGCGGCGGTCAGGACAAACACGACGAACACCAACCGAGCTTCCTCTCACATGACAAACGTCTCACTCGCTGCAGAGACAAACACAGCACTGGCTGTTTTAGGGACTTTTTTCAGCGGCGGATTAATACACGTTTAGTGCTTGAATGATAATAAACTACAGCTTATCTGAGCCGAGGATTCTGGGAAAAGGCTGTCAGCTGTTTGGTTTGATAGTGAGACGGTTGTTTGGTTACTGCTGACCGCAGACGCTGAGTCACAACTTCTGGACTTTAGTCCAGCAGCTGCAGGTCGGAGTTTTCATGTTCTCGCTCCTCAGAGGAGGAACCCTGATCTGCTGACCTGAGAAACAGCAGAGATCCGTGATTTTAGTCAAATATGGACGCACAGGACGGACTGAGGCGCTGTCAGGGCTTCCTGCTCCTCACAGGAAGAGCACACACACACACACACACACACACACACACACACACACACACACACACACACACACACACACACACACAC